TGTAAGCTACCTGTCTGTAATGGGCAAAGTAATTAATCATACTCAGATAATTGTTTTCAAAATTTTATTACTGCTTGTTTAACAGCTAGATATATGTTTTTTTTTAAATTATCAAATAGAATTTCTTCAAACTTTAAACACATTTAGTGAGATTACAGGAAATATTGCAAATGATTAATGAATTGTCTTTCCTTTATTTAAAGATATCAGATCAAATTTAGAAGAATAAATGATTATGAAAATTGAGTGCCCAATGCTGCTGGTGTCCATGCTTTTGAAAAAAGAAGTCATGACTCAGAATCCATAGTGAGAAACAAATCATGAATGAAGATTGAGATGGTGTGTTTATGTTTCTCTCCACTAAAACTTCTGTGGTAAATGGTTGGTGTCTGGCTCATCCAATGATCAACCCATTGGCAGACTACCAGGTAATCTTTCATTCGGCCAATACTTTGAGCCTGAAAAAAAGATGATGATGAAACACATTTAATCCATCATAAAGATTCTGGTGCATGAAAATACTTTTTAAGTCTGTACAAAGTGAAATTTAAAGGAATAATGAAAATTCAAAAGATTATACTTGAACTTGCATTACATGTTAACATGAATTGATACATATTAAAAATGCATGTATGTAGTCAATTTTCAATTTCAGGTTCCAACCTGAAGAATACATGGGAAGAGTAAAACATTTTTCATTTATATAAATACTTACTAGCTATAGTCTAGAAGAATGTCCTGAAACCTGAATGTTTAGTCCACCATCAGATGAATTTCAATCGCATTATTCTGAAAAATTGAGTAGATAGTCTTCTACATGCATGCATGTCTTAAAGTCACACTGTCTGGTCATCATAACTTTGCACTCCAATTAATTATACCTTCATAAATGTTATTTAGTAATTAATAAAGGCATCATCAAATATTTTTGCTTTGGTTATTATTACATTTCTTTGATCAATATGACTTGTCTTTTAAATAGTTAGGACTGCAATAGGAAGATAAAACTAAAAAAAAAATGACACAGCTTAAAATGTTATTGTATCATGATATACAAAAATATGTAAGGTTTTTGTATCAGGATATATTACTTTTTTGTGTATATTGTGTGAGTTACATAGTATTATGTTTCTTGAAATTATTATTTTTTTTTTTTAATTTTGAACAAAGAAAAATGACTTGTAAATTTTATAGTTAAAATCTCTTGATTGAAAGAGAAAAATGAAAGCACTGAGTTTGCTGAGGGACAAAAAAAAAAAAAAAATACACGAGAGATTAGAAAAAGATTGTTAAATGTGGATGTGAAGTGTGCTAAGCTTAAAAGTTTCATTCTGATTGTTCAATATTTAAAAGACAGGATAATTTGAAGATATTAGACATTATAATAGTCTGACTGGTTTATTATGTAAATCATTTTTGCTTTATAGCCATGATTTCTGATCTGCTACCTCATCGTTAAATCAAGCTACATAGCTGAATCAAGAGAATGTGCCATACCTGTATATACGGGCATCTATTTCATCAAATTTGAAAATGTTCTGAATTTAGAAGTTAAAATTTTTGTTGAATAAAAAAATATTTACATAACTCTCTTTCATAGTAGGTTTCCCAGCAGAAAATATATATTATGCTATGGATACAATTACCATGATATATTTTTCATTACAATAGTAAAACTTTTCTTGCATATGGGTGTTAAAAGATCTCTATATGAATATTGTTGCACTAATTAAACTATTGCAAACAAAAAATTGCATATACCAGTGAATAGAGTTTTGAAAAAGAAATACTCAGATGAGACCCTACAGTGTACTAGGAAACAGATTTTTCAAATTAAGTCCACATTTGAGCAGTATGGGAACTTGGAGACAAAATGAAGCTGCTGCCTGAGAAACCCAACACAGCAATTTGGAACACTGAATGTGGTACATGACATTAATTGGAAAATTGCCTCTGATGTCAATTTTTTGTTTGAAAAATGTCTGTATTCAGAATAAATGATTCAGTTTTATCTTAACGTTTATACTGATGAAATTATAGAGACATGAATTGTTCTTTATTTTTTCCCTTTTTCCTCTTTTGCTTCTGTTTTTATTTAAACTGGAAAGTCAGGACATGATTGCTGAAACACTCTGTATCTACCAAGATAGTTGTCTATACATCAATACATGTACATAAATGACCCTTAGAACTCGGTCCTGTAAAATTGACAAAACTTTGGGCTAAAGGTATATTTTATATGTTAGAACTTGTAAAAAATACACGTACATTTTTCAATAAAAATTCAAAAAAAAAAATGCCAAAAATATGTGTTATATATACATGATATAGAAAACTCTATATTGATTCCCCAGGGTGTTGACACTACAAATAAATGTAAAAAGAAAATGCATTTTACATCATGTAGATTGTGATTCACTGTCAAAAGCATGAAATGTTGAAAGAGAAAATATAGACTTTCATATATTGAAAATAATGTTTTTACCAGCTGTTATTTTCTTTATGTAATCTTGGTGTTATATTAATGCTTTTTTCCTAATTGTTTAATCAGCTGATTGTGTCATATGTACCTTTTTACGTTTTTTTTTAAACACATACTTCTGTATATGGGGCACTGTTAAAATGCCAAATATACATATACCACGCGTTTTTGGCATATTCTTACAATTTGGAAACCCCTCTTTCTTGTGTGTACATTAGGTAGTAAAACAACAACAGCAAAAAAAAAAAATCAAATAAATCAACTTACGTTTTTAAAAACACATTCTTGCATCATCATGGCCATGTCAACATCTGTATCCACAACTTGTACTGCATTATACTCGGCCGCGGACTATTTTCTCGGCGTTTATGACAAAACTCATTATACAGTGGTAAAATATATTGTAATTCAAATAAATACTCACATTATTAATAAAAACACTTTAAATTACGTCCTTTGATTTTCTCAGATTTTTCGGAATTTTACTTTGGAAAGAACGACTACTCCCTTCAAAAACTGGTTCCTCGCCCCGTAATCTAGACGCTAATGGACGAGTTTACCATGTTAAATCCCCGTAGACTTTGAATTTGCCGCCGTGTCAATACACTGGTTGACCTCGAGGGTTTGTATAAATGCAGGAAGTTTGGAAAAAAATCAATCTACCGATCGAACCTAGGTTGAAAGTCAAGGTATTTATATATTTTGAGATATCTTGCAAAAAGTAGTGACGTTCCGGTCGTGGGACAGACTATAATACCAAATATTTGCATGTAAGAATTGAAAAAAAAAAAAAAATGAAAAAAACCCAATAAAAATTCATTAAAAAAAGACATTCAGCTACTATAAAAAATTATACTATTGTAAACTATAGTTAACTACATGTATAGTAAGCTGTAGTTTTCTAATTATAGTATTTTTTTTATTTTGTCAGGCGTATACGGACCCTTTGTAAATTGGTAAGAATCATATATATGAATGCAAGCGAAACGGCTTGTCCATGAGAAGTGTCCACCCCTCAACCCACCCCACCCATCCCACCATCACCACCATGAGATAGGTTTGCGTTGGGACAATTTTCCTTCTTTTTTTTCCTTTTTACAAATTTTTTGGGTTTTTTTAAAATTCGATATGTGCATGTGTAGGCGGGAAAAGAGTTAGCGTGCTTAGTCTGCATAGTTTTCAACAGACCCTCTTTCATATAGAATATATTTATTTTTGATTTGGATTAAATAGAATCCACCCATTTAATTGTATTTCTACACGAATATGACGTCAAGTGACATTGAATATATATAAAGTTGTGTTGATTACTACCATGCACACAGCAAAAACACGGGTTTGTAATCGATACACAGGCGTTTCTTACACTCCGCTCCGTCTAAAACCCAGCGTTGCCTTGCCAGAATTTAAATTTTTTACAATCTTTTTTTTTTTTGGTCTTGTTTATTCTATACATGTATTTTATTTGTTTTTGTTGAATGCATAAATACATTGACACATACTGGTAATAAATAGGCACTAGCTTATAATCATTTTTATACTTTTTGCCTCAAGAACACGACTTAAGACGTACTGAACACAATGTCATAAAAGCCTCTCTATAATTTCCGAACTTTCTGCTTTTTCATAATTAAAAAAAAGAGCCCAAGGGCTTTAATGGTTACCTGATTATAATACAACCCTGAGCAGAGAATAATTTAAAATGCATTTCAACATATAATCAATAGAGTCCCGCCCTAACACTAGAATTCCTAATTCAGGGGCAAGGAATTTCACAAATTTGATAAAGGCACCCTTGCTTATCATTATCATGCACTTAGTTTATCTACGAATTTCACAATTTTGAAAGAAGTATCCTTCCTCATCATAACCAGGCACAACCAAGGGACAGAAAGATTTTTAAAGAATTCATCCATTTTTACTATATGGTCAATAGAGCCCCATCTTAAATCCAGAACTCCTGACCCTCGGGCTATTAATTTCACAGTTTGGTAGAGGGCTTATTACATGTACAATCATGCCAACAGTTTGACTGATGTCCAGAAGTAATGAGGAAGATTTTTTGAAGATTGCATTTTTGTTCCCCTGTCCCCATATATGTGCAATATTCCTAAATCGGTTGAAATTGGTTCAACGGTTCCAGAGAAAAATGTTCAAATGTTAACACACGACAGACAAAAACAGATATCAATAGGTCACCTGAGTGACTCAGGTGACCTTAAAATCATGTTTCTCCTTCAAAGGTTATTTGTCCTATAATGGGGCAACATTAAGGAGTGCAAGAGTTTGATTTACGCAATATTATGGACGATATATATTTAAATACTTCAAAATCAGAATATCTCTCTATCTATCTATATCGTCGTTAATGTTAATACCAAAAGTTATAAAAGTGTTGCTAGTACCTTGACTGGACAGAACAATGAATTTAATTTTAAAATAAAGTAGACAAAAATTGAAGTCAAGACCAAATCAACCTCTGACAATTACTATCATTAGACGAGAAAGAAAAGAAAACTTCTATTTCCATTTTTATTTATATGTTATGTATTTATCAAATGGACACGACAGATGATAGAACTCTTCAGAGACTATAAAATCTCGTCATTTAAGAAGTTAACTCAACGTTCTCAATAGAATGCTGAAGGTTTGTTCATAATTTCATTTTCATAACTTTAAAATGTTTCTCACATTTACATCGTTTATATACGAAACACATTATGTTCTCTAGAACATGTATTATGTATTTATCAAATGTACACGACAGATGATAGAACTTTTCAGAGAAAATAAAATCTCGTCATTTAATGCACAAGAAGTTCACTCAACGTTTTCAACAGAATGCTGAAGGTTACAGATTACATACATATGGTGAACTGAAATTTTAAACACTAATCGAAATACCATCAGAGACGATATACATGTACAGATAACTGATTTTATTGTTTAGAGTAGTAGTAGAATTCATCTGACGGAGCAGCGTTGAAGGTATTCCCGATCTCCGTGGAGAGATCCTTAAAACTGGGTCTGTGTTTCGGCTTTGTTTTCCAGCATCTAGTCATGACTCCGTAAAAGCTACATGGAGAGAAAACAACGTTATAAGAAATAGAAAGAGGAATAATTAGGGAGAGAAAACAACGTTATAAGAAAAAGAAAGAGGAATAATTATGGAAAGAAAACAACGTTATAAGGAATAGAAAGAGGAATAATTAGGGAGAGAAAGCAACGTTATAAGGAATAGAAAGAGGAATAATTAGGGAGAGAAAGCAACGTTATAAGGAATAGAAAGAGGAATAATTATGGAGAGAAAACAACGTTATAAGAAATAGAAAGAGGAATAATTAGGGAGAGAAAACAACGTTATAAGGAATAGAAAGAGGAATAATTATGGAGAGAAAACAACGTTATAAGGAAAAGAAAGAGGAATAATTATGGAGAGAAAACAACGTTATAAGAAATAGAAAGAGGAATAATTAGGGAGAGAAAACAACGTTATAAGGAAAAGAAAGAGGAATAATTATGGAGAGAAAACAACGTTATAAGAAATAGAAAGAGGAATAATTAGGGAGAGAAAACAACGTTATAAGGAAAAGAAAGAGGAGTAATTATGGAGAGAAAGCAACGTTATAAGGAATAGAAAGAGGAATAATTAGGGAGAGAAAACAACGTTATAAGGAATAGAAAGAGGAATAATTAGGGAGAGAAAACAACGTTATAAGGAATAGAAAGAGGAATAATTATGGAGAGAAAACAACGTTATAAGAAATAGAAAGAGGAATAATTAGGGAGAGAAAACAACGTTATAAGGAAAAGAAAGAGGAGTAATTATGGAGAGAAAGCAACGTTATAAGGAATAGAAAGAGGAATAATTAGGGAGAGAAAGCAACGTTATAAGGAAAAGAAAGAGGAGTAATTATGGAGAGAAAGCAATGTTATAAGAAATAGAAAGAGGAATAATTATGGAGAGAAAGCAACGTTATAAGAAATAGAAAGAGGAGTAATTATGGAGAGAAAGCAACGTTATATGAAATAGAAAGAGGAGTAATTATGGAGAGAAAGCAACGTTATAAGAAATAGAAAAAAGGAATAATTAAGGAGAGAAAAGAACTTTATAAGGAATAGAAAGAGGAATAATTATGAATACTAGTACATTAAGAATGGCATGCTTTTTCAAAAATAACAATGTTTTTGACTTACAAATCATTTGCAAACTCTGGTCTCTTCATTCGATGGCCATTTCTGACTTCAGTTTGTACATCTCTACTGCGCATACCTGGATACGGAGTTTCACCTGAATTAAAAATTAATCAAATTATTAGAACCTCACCGAGACGCTCTTCAGTAATCACAATGTCGACCTGTCTGTCTGTCTGTCTTTCTAACATATGAAATGCAACACTTTGTGTATTATTTACATGGAGGCTGATTAAAGAAAGTCACCAACAGATTTTGGGATCATTTGGTTAAAAGTCAAGGAGATTTATAAGTGCTATGACAATTATACTTCAATGTGGTGCAAAAAAAGCATACGAATTCAACGCCTTTTACTTCAAAGAGGATGTTAAAGACATCAATTAATTTTGAGGGTCACTTGGTCAAAGGTCAGATCCAGATTCTGAGGTAAAGATTATTGATAAGGCCAATGTGATGCAATTACTTTAAAAACTTGTGAAGTACAAAATTCATCTTAACTACATATTTTTGGAAAAAATCTTGGAAGCAAAAAAAAAAAGTTCGGATTACCTGTATTTATTTGACTTAATTATTATAAACAATTCTCTATTTAATTTAAAGACACAACCTATTTAGTAATTAGATAAAGAATAGTTAACTGAAAACGGATATTAAATATATCAATAACTTACAAAGTTGAAAACCAAAGAGTTGCAATTATTGAATACATATATTGAACACGAGTTACAATTATTGATACATATATTTAACACTTAGGTGATGAAGAAGTTAACTGTTCTGATTTGAAAGTAGTACAGTTTCATGAAATAAAAATTAAAGAAAGACACCTGAGGATTTTAAGGCAATTAAGTCAAAGGCCTTGATCAAAGTTATTAATTTTCCTATCAATATACCTGTATGTGCATAAAACGTCTTAGAATATTGAAGTTTTAACGGCAAAATTAAAAGAGACTGTGGTGATTTCAAGGTCAAGTACAAAATTTCAAGATTCAAAAGCGGGGCGGGGGGAGGGGGGGGGGGCTGTATGGTTTCTTAATTTAGACACAAACATGTCATACGCTAGGTTGAGATTTTATAATATGATTATAATTCTTACGTACCCAAACTAAACACTTCCCACAAAACAACTCCAAAGGACCATACATCACTTTTACTTGTGGCGGATTTCAATGAAATCAAACATTCCGGAGCTGCCCATTTTACTGGTATTCTTTCCTGAAATAGTGTGTTCATTACTTTTAAGTTCACTCTTAAATGACTGGTTACATACTTAGAGGAGGAGGCCCATGGGCCTTGACAATCGATCTCCTCTATCAGGAGTTTCTCAACCTATGGCCATTTGGCTCTACCCGGAACTGAAACTTTCGACTCCTGACAAAATTTTTTACAATTTGTTAAGGATTTTACAATCATTATTATTATATCAGACAGTTTGTCTTCTATAAATAGTAATAAAGAAAACAAGCTGTATGATGAATTTTATTATACATGTATGATCAATTTATGCCTAACCTTAGGCCTGACTCCTGGACTTGGGGTACACGAATTAGGTATAGTTTGTTAAGGGTTAGATGCTTATTACAATCATGCAAATAATTTGCCTGCTTAATGTCCATAACCAAATGAAGATTTTCAGAGGTGTGATATACTTTCAGTGTTTATTTTAATGATAAAAATAATTTGAGTAGAGAAGATATTCAAATATATAATATTTCTTCAACATATGACCAAGGGTTAAAACTAATGACCCAGAGGCCACGAAATTCATATATATATATATATATATATATATATATATATATATATATATATATATATATATATATATATATATATATAAAGCACTAAAAACCAACAACACTGTATATCCTAAGTGTCGGATCTACTAAGTAGATACAAGGTCACGGATGGAAATTTATATAAAGCACTAAAAATGACCAACGACACGAACAATAATAATTGTCAAATTTTCGGGACGACCTGTCCCTTCCTCAGGACAAAGAAAAAAAGTTAAGAAGTCATAAAAACAAAGGAAATAGAGAAGCAAAAACAACTAGCACTAGTACTAAACTACCAAACACTAAATATTTACAATGTTACATGTTTAATTTGGAGTTTATAAACAGTTGTGAACAAAGAAATCCGGAGCGCTATGAATTGCGTCCGGTCTATCGGGTGTACTCTGGTGAAGTGTGATTTACATAATTGAACGAATTAATTATCGCTAATTAATTACGACCAACAGTAAATCGTACATTGTCTTATTCTCTCAAAATAGCGTAACTCTACATGATAAAAAGAAATTAAAGAAAGATAATATGGAAGGAAAATTTTGAAATATGAATTTGGATATATTATAAATTTGGAAATCGGAAAAAAGAAATAAACAAAAATATTTGGGTAGGTTGTTCCAGGATTGCTAATACGAATTAACGGTAAAGTTTACACTATATAGAGAGAATGAACTTGTTTGTTACAATCCGGGATGGGGTCTAGTTCACGTTCATCCTGGTGAAGTCATTAAGTTTGTTAATACCATTAGGGCGGAATGACTTCAGCCTGTGCATCCAGAACTTTTCCTTGCCTTTTCTCTGCGCGTCTGTCCATCTTGGATTATGGTCAATAACCACTACTGTCATGTCCTCCCATTTGTGACCTTCAAGGTTGAAATCTTCCCCAACGGGTTCATTGAGTTTTTTGGTCCTAATGGTAGAACGGTGATTATTGACTCTCCTGCGGAGATCTGTTTCACCAACATACTGTTTGGAGCAAACTTTGCAACTGATGAGATAAATGCAGTTGTCTGTTTGACAGGACAAATTCCCTAGTATTTTGTAGCTGCGGCCTGTAACGGGGCTGTTAAAACTGTCTGTGTCAGAGCTGTACTTACAGAGAAGACATCTTCTGTCAGAGCAAGTTTCCGCACGATGAGGGTATCGAAGCCTGTAGAGAAGTCTGGGATAGTAGATCCATACAAATTCCTTCTACCGAGTCCCTTGCCAAGCTCCTTGAACATGTTCTCAAGTATAACAACTTCATGTTTAATGGAGAACATTACCTGCAGGTTAATGGCACTGCTATGGGCACGAAAATGGCACCATCTTATGCCAATATTTTCATGGGCAGACTGGAACGCAACTTGCTACTTCAAGCACCATTTAGGCCCCTTAGCTGGTTGCGTTTCATTGACGATATAGAGATGAAGTGGGTGGAATATCGCGAGAGCCTCGAGGCATTCATTTCGTTTGCCAACACCTTTCATCAGTCTATCAAATTTACAGTAGACGTATCTAATTCGAAAAACATATTCCTAGATACTACATCTACCCTGACTGATGGTGAAATCGAGTTCAGTCTCCACACAAAACCCACAGATTCCCATCTGTATCTTATGCCAACTAGCTGTCATCCCCCACACACATTTAAGGGTGTGCCTAAGGGTCTAGCCACCAGAATTCGGCGCATCTGTTCATCCCCTGCCTTATATCAAGAACAAAGCGGTCTCCTTAAGTCCCACTTACGCAAGAGAGGCTACAATGCCCGCACCGTATAAACTGCTATTGATGAGATGGCGGGACATGACAGGCAAAACCTATTACGCTACAAGGAAAAAGACAGTAGCGGCAGGGTCCCTCTGGTAACCACATACCATCCCGTCCTTAAGAACCTCAGCGGTATCCTTCAAAAGAATCTGCGAATTCTTCACTCAAATAAACGAATGGCAGAGGTCTTTAAGGAGCCCCCCCCCCCCCATTGGCTGCATACAGACGCCCGAGGAACCTAAAGGACATGGTAGTAAGAACCAGATTGGACAATCCATTACCTAACGGGGGCTTTAAAACTTGCTCTGACAGAAGATGTCTTCTCTGTACGTACAGCTCTGACACAGACAGTTTTAACAGCCCCGTTACAGGCCGCAGCTACAAAATACTAGGGAATTTGTCCTGTCAAACAGACAACTGCATTTATCTCATCAGTTGCAAAGTTTGCTCCAAACAGTATGTTGGTGAAACAGGAGATCTCCGCAGGAGAGTCAATAATCACCGTTCTACCATTAGGACCAAAAAACTCAATGAACCCGTTGGGGAAGATTTCAACCTTGAAGGTCACAAATGGGAGGACATGACAGTAGTGGTTATTGACCATAATCCAAGATGGACAGACGCGCAGAGAAAAGGCAAGGAAAAGTTCTGGATGCACAGGCTGAAGTCATTCCGCCCTAATGGTATTAACAAACTTAATGACTTCACCAGGATGAACGTGAACTAGACCCCATCCCGGATTGTAACAAACAAGTTCATTCTCTCTATATAGTGTAAACTTTACCGTTAATTCGTATTAGCAATCCTGGAACAACCTACCCAAATATTTTTGTTTATTTCTTTTTTCCGATTTCCAAATTTATAATATATCCAAATTCATATTTCAAAATTTTCCTTCCATATTATCTTTCTTTAATTTCTTTTTATCATGTAGAGTTACGCTATTTTGAGAGAATAAGACAATGTACGATTTACTGTTGGTCGTAATTAATTAGCGATAATTAATTCGTTCAATTATGTAAATCACACTTCACCAGAGTACACCCGATAGACCGGACGCAATTCATAGCGTTCCGGATTTCTTTGTTCACAACTGTTTATAAACTCCAAATTAAACATGTAACATTGTAAATATTTAGTGTTTGGTAGTTTAGTACTAGTGCTAGTTGTTTTTGCTTCTCTATTTCCTTTGTTTTTATGACTTCTTAACTTTTTTTCTTTGTCCTGAGGAAGGGACAGGTCGTCCCGAAAATTTGACAATTATTATTGTTCGTGTCGTTGGTCATTTTTAGTGCTTTATATATATATATATATATATATATATATATATATATATATATATATATATATATATATATATATATATTAAAAATAGCCATGCTAACAGTTTGCCTGCTAGATGTCCTTGAGTAAAGAAGATAATTTTAAAGATACGAGGCATTTTCAAAGACCAATTTAGCCAGTTCAATTTTACAATTTTAATAAAGGGCTCGTTAGTTTTTATAATCATACAAACGGTTTGCCTTTTAGATATCCATGACTTAATACTTTTGAAAATTGCATTAATTTTTCATTTTTTTTTAAGGTTTTAGCTACAACCCTCAGGCCCAATTAAAGGCCATGAATTTGTTCCCTTTGTTCTTTGTTGTTTCTTTGCTACCTACCAAAATTTGTTAATTAATATTAGTTCAACCATTGAAGAGAAGAGAGAAGAGAAGAAGTTCAATTGTTAATGGACGAAGACAGATGATGCCATATAAAATCAGATTAAAATACATGTAGGTCACATGAGTGACTCAAGTTACCTAGAAAATACCTGTCCAAAAATTCATTTACATGTACATATGTATGTCGTTATGTGTACTACAGCCAAGATTTAAAAGAAAGATACTAATTTTTTTGTCGTTGTTGAAGTATGTTTAATGTGTTAATCATAAAGCATGTTGGATACAGTCATACTGGTGTTATATGAATTTATTATGGTCCGAATTAGAGGGGTTATTAACCTTTTCGTCTGATGTTGCATCTTTTTCCTCCTCGTTGCCTTCTTGCTGCGGTGGTTCAGGTCCGAATCCATAGATCTTGGGCTCCAGATCTTCAGTCAACAAAATATTTCGTGCAGCAAGTCTTTTGTGCACAAGCTGAAATGTGTAAAAAATAATCATAGTGCTGATTTTCTGGTCAAACAATTTTAAATATTTCATACAATATACATGTATTTAAAACCCCTGCAGGAAAAGGCCACCAATCATGGGAGAACCTTTTTTGACTCGAGGAATGACATTCCCTTAGAAATTCCGTAGACAATTCGATGTAACTGTTCCTCTGTGTCTTCTGCCCATGTATTTTTCTTTTGTAGCAACCAATCTCGAAGTTGCCCTTTTTCACAGTATTCTAGAACCATGAACGGCCCAACTGCAAAATATATGAATAAACTTTATCATTCTTTTTAATAAGCAAAATTTGATGGCCTATTAAATGTTACTTTTGAAATGCATCCTTTTTAATTTATCTTCCCAATTTTATCTTAATAATAAAGAATGATGACCAACATGCTTCATTATCGACGACAGCGCCAATGAAATGGACGATGTTTGGGTGTTCTCCAACTTCTTTCCCAAAAAAGTTTATTTTTGCTTTCATCATCAGCATGTTTTCTTCACTGTATCCACCTATAATGACAAAGGGGTGAAGTAATAATTAATTGAGCATTTATTTTCAGTCAAATGCAAAGTTTTCTTCACTTGAAATTGTGATAAACCTTTACTGATATAGAAAAGGAAATAAAGAAAAACAGATAAATCTAAACCTCAGTTGTAAATATTATCTTGATGAATGGGCGTGAAGCATTTAGTAAGCATACATGAATACTCGTATATTCATCTTATACAATACATTTATACATTTGTGTCTTGAAACAAAATTTGAATTCTGAAGGAGGGGAATACTTATCGTTATTAACTGACTGTTGTTTGTTCTCAGGCTTTATATCTTCTTTAAGATTTTATATGTAGTACATACTCAAATTAGGAGTGTGTAAGACCTTGCATTATACTTTAATAATAAGAACCCACAGCTACTCACAAAGCTTTAACATAAAACACTGTACATACTTTGTCAGTACAAAGTCACAAACATTGTACAATGTAGGTCATATGTAGCATTCGAAATCGAACACTATGCATTCCAACAAACAATATATACAGTTCAAGGTAGAACTTACAATTACATGGAGATATCCAGATGATCAACCATAAAAAAATTATATGTAACCTGCAGTATTTGAAGCATGTCAGGTAGTATGCTTAGTGAGATGTAGTATAAATGTATCTTCATTGAAAAAAAAAATACTTGGGAGTTGATGTTCTCCCAATATACAAACTTGATCACTGATCCAAACAGATAATTCAAATCTCCATTAATAATCGTAATCCTAGTATCAATATACATGCAAGTTTCATGAACAATGGGGTCATAGCTATTTGGAAAAGAACAGACTCGAATTAAATCTGACATAGCACAAAATATATCTCAAGCAGCATTTTGAAACCTTACTGCACATCTACAACTTAAACAAGACACTTTCAACCATTATAATTTAAGCATTACTAGTATAAAGACTTTCAATCCTTCCTTTTAAGCCCCTGAGCTAGAGGAACATTTGGATATCTTTGTGTCTAACAAGACCAATCGAGTTCAAAAAAGTGCGCGCATAAAATTTTTAAAAAGAAATATTAATTTTTTTTATTTGCCACTGATTAGGCGTATGACTACATAATGATTTTTATGCAAAGTCTTACTTTTCAAAGTCTTTGCTACGACTATTTGTTTGTTCATATTATTTTGTGGCTGGTATCTGGCCTTATAAATGTCCGCAAATCTTCCGCTCGTTAACATGGCATCCAGCACAATGTCAGCACTCGGTACTATCCAATTGTCAGTTTTATTGAAATCCATTTGGCCATATATGTATATATCATCACAATCATAGGTAGGATTCTGCAGACAGAAGAGTTGTAATATATGCATACTGAGAAAAATAATCACTTGAAACTTCACTACTCAAAAACATATGGATTATGTATTTATCACCGATTAAATACTTACATGTGCTGTTAATCGATTTGCGATGTTCTTTCTGACTACTGTCACCCTGCGTTGAATGTCTTCTCTCACAACAGTTAAACGTCCAAGTCGCCAAAGAACAAGCATAGCAGCAATTACTCCCAACATGATTAAAAATGCTGAAATGAATGCTCTTTTATATATATATATATATATATATATATATATATATATATATATATATATATATATATATATATGAGAGAGAGAGAGAGAGAGGAGTACACGTATAATAATTATGAATTTTATTACTGAGAGAAATTCCAGCTATTGCTCCACCGGTCAGGGCAGCCGGTGCCTCGGCTGTTTTGAAGTGTAGAAATACAGGATCACTCCTCTGGGGTCCGTATTCTGTAACAAAGGACAAGTTGTAACTTGTTTCTGGATCCAATCCTGTCAAATCAAACCAGTCAGCGTCTTTATCTACAAATCGGACGTGAACTTGGCCACTGGATGAACGGAACTGTACTATAACCTTTGACCTCTCGTAACATGTTGGAGGTACGATCCAATTCAGACGAACACCGTTGTCATAGGTTGCAGTAATGGTTAAATTTATTGGGCCAGAGTCTAAAAAGATAAAGTCCTGAAATGTAATCATGAATTTAATGCAACTATCATGCATTATTTTCTGGATGATCCGATCTAAATTTATTGAGTATTTAACTCTGAAAAGATTACGTAACTATGACTTACATTCATCCATGCCGTTAAGCGAGGCTACATCTGTAATCTGCATTTTAATAAAAAAGGTAATCAAAATGAGATCACAAGAGCAAAAACACATTGAACAAGGTAAGTTTAAGATTTCTAGTATCGAGGGTGTTTAATCTTCTTACAATTTGAGTGTAGGAAGTTGGTTCCATTGCCATGTTGTACACGATAAGATTTAATAAGACAAACTCCTCTGCGAATTTTTCCTTGGACACAACCATCCAGCAGTTATTAATGTCTACATCATGACGATAATAAAAGAAGCTTCCTACGGACGTCGTGTATCCTGTTTTAAATCCAGGATCCACCTACAGTGAAAAGAAAATATAAGATATAATGTTATAGTATTCTTGAATTTTCCTATTATTTTACAGACAAAACTTGATTTTGTTAAATGACTGAATATCTTGTATGTTGAAACAAGACAATTTATATGACTGAATAATTTCTAGCTGACGTCCAACGTTGCAGAAATAAAGGAAAAACGTTATGTTCACCTGCTGACCTTCCAGGGTGAACATCAAGAACTTCTAAATTGATACAAATATTCTGCAAAGTTATTTCACTTTCGGGGATGGGGTATGTGAGGGTGGGGTGCAGAGGGTCTGCCCCCTCCCCACACCTTTATTTCTGGATGTAATTTTGCACTATTAATTTTGTATGAAAATGTTCATTTAAAGGCTGATTCCCCCCGTTAATGGACACTAATATCCCTCCCCCGAAAAAATTGAGTTTTCCTCTTGGGGGGAGGGGGCAAGTCAAAGATTTTTTCTGGTAGGTTGTCATTTTTCCCCCTTAAAATGCCACCTCCTTACTTTCAAAATCGATCTTACGTGTGTGACATTTACTTTTTTCCACATCGCACACAAAATATATATCAACTTAGACTAGATGGCCTCAATAAGGAATAAAATATATCTTAAGATATGTCTTAGTCCTAAGATGGCGTCGATAGTATGCCTGCTGGTTATTTTTATCTCTGCTTCTCTCATCTCTTTGGCTAGGACTTCAGCAAATGCAAACAAATGTGACTAGCATGGATTACTTTACGAGTTTGTATCATTTAATCATTGAATCATATAATAAACAATTATTACCGTTTATTTTTCCAGTCAGTATAATGATGATTTAGCCACCTTCGAAGTACAATATTCACCTCGCCCTTCGAGCTCGGTGAATATTGTGCTCCTCAGTTGGCTAAATCATCTTGATTAAGCCACTTCGAAGTACAATATTCACCTCGCCCTTAGAACTCGTTGAATATTTACTCCTCAGGTGGCTAAATTACCGTATTGACCTATAAAACAGAATTAATTGTATAATATTTTTTGTTTTTTTTTCAAAATAAATGTAAAATACGGAACAAAGTTCCAAAACATAAAACAAGTCTTTACGTCTGTTTTGTTTCCTGGAATATCACTTTCATGGAATATTTTGTTGCTACTATTAGATCTTAGTTCCACATGAATTTTATGTATACCACTCTGCCCGTCGAAAGCATCTACCTGTAGCCTAAAAAAAACTTCAGCTATAAATGGCGATCGCTCATGACATTTTTCACGAGAGAGAGAGAGAGAGAGATTTATATTTTGATTTTCCCTTTATTTCAAAAGAAACAATTCAGAAAAATGAATAGTTTTTATTTCTTACCGGCTGGAGAAAGCAAAGGTGGCATTTTTGACATTCTTTGTAAATATAACATCCGTAGGTATTAAACTCTTTGGCGGACTTGAATCAAAGAAAATCTTCGTCAAGTCGACTTTCGTATTCCCCATGATGTCTGTGGCTCTGACCCAGAAATTAATGGTATCGCCATCTTTTCTTTCGATGTTAAATTTCTGAGTTTCAGAAAATGTATCATTAACTATATACCAGGTGCGCGGGGTTTTATCTCCTTGATTTCCATGTCTGTAGAAATATTCAAACTTCACGATACCGTGAACATTCCGGATTCCTCTGAGTGTTCTTTTCCCTGAGTTATCATCAAGTTGGTTAGGAACTAGCTTTTCATATTTTGCCACATAATCGAAATGTTTATAATGTGTTACTGGATTTAAAAGTTTATTATCGTCCTGGAATTTGTTTCGAAAGTGTCCTTTCCAAGACATATTTATGTCGTTAGTGAGATTATTTTGCCATTGAAAGTTAGTTTCAGCTTCTGCACTTCTTGCCTGGAATGGTAATTCAGACAACGTGATATTTGAACTAGGGTCATATAATACCAAGGTGCGTGCGTATTGTGTATTGTTGGCGCGGTCTATTACATTAAGTATGAAGGAATACACCCCTGCTCTTTTAGGAGTGTAGGTATAACTTGTTTCTGATGCCGAAAGGGATATTTCCTCGTCTGGATGCCATGGATTTGGTTCTGCCAACTTCGTTGTGTTCAGCTTCAGCAGATAAATCTGTATTTTGTATTCCTGGATGCCAGAAAGCTCATCTTCCCAGTTCTGCCACGATAATTCTAAAGGTGACTTAATAAAAAAAGAAATAAAACAGAAAGTTAATCTTTCAAAGTAATTATTATTTTATTCAGTAAGGCTTTATGGACATTTTTCGTTTGACTTTATCGTCGATTGGCACAGGTGTGCATTAAATAAGCACTTTGAGTTGGATACATGTACATGTATGTATGTATAATTTAACGTTTCCTTAAACACTCAACGTAGTTTGAACTTTATTGTCTTTTTCCCTGGAGTTGAAGAGTTCTGATATTTAAAGGAATTGTGTGCTATATTTAAATGTCTAATCTGCTGTTGTACACTTCTTTTAAAACAAGTTTGGATGAAAAACATTTAGAATATATGTTAAGTAATTTTTGTAAATTTTTCTTTGAATTATACAAGAATTATCATCCATTGATATCTTTTCAAATCCCCTCCTAATGCATGCTGATTTTTTGTCTATGAACATCTGATGGCACTATAATCTTAAATTAAGAATATCTTGAAAAATTATCAGTAGGTAAGGTACGTTGCGTATGTCCTTATACCAGAGGAAAAGTTAAGAAAAGCCATTTTTTCCATTGACCCTTATCTTTAAAATATATTTTAGAAAAGATAGATTTCAACAGGGTTAAACTGAAATAAACTAGTTATAATTGTAACGGGGACCGTTACAGATGTTCCCCAAACGCTCCCCAACTCCCTTTTGGTGACTTTTTTCCTGTAAGCTTCTTTAAATAAGGCAATGAAGTATATTGGTCATTTTTTGCATTTCACGCGCGCGCACGTGCATGCATGTGCAGGATGACCAAGTCATCCCGTCTATACTATATATGCATCTTTATATTCTCAGTATCAAAACATTTCATCAAAAAATATATAAGTTCCGGCTAAATCAAGCATATTGGTCATCTTAGCATTGCGCGCACGCGCACATGCATGCATGTTCATAATGACCATGCCATTTTGTGTACACTTATAATATGTCTGTTAATTCATAGTATCAAAGCTTTTCATCAAAAAATATAAAAGTTACGGCTATATTAAGTATATTGGTCATTTAACACATTGCACGCGCGCGCACGCGCACATGCATGTGCATCATGGCCAAATCATCTTGTCTACACTTTTAATATTATATAAATAGTGCACGTTTTTGAGGGTAACAGTTGAAATTGACACCCCAAGGAAAATCATTGTCAACCGACGCGTCAGCGGAGGTTGACAATGGTTTTCCGAGGGGTGTCAATTTCAACTGTTACCCTCAAAAACGTGCACTATTTATTTTATTATACTGAATGTCTTTTTGATTTCGGATGTCATAAAAAAATTCGGAGATCTTCGTTAAGGTCACGCTTAGAAAGCTTTCAAACTCCCCGCTTCTATTTTTCTCAATAAGAAAGCTTCGGAAAAGATTTACCAACCTCTTTATTGTTTGTTTGCTACTCAAAAAGTCCTTTATCATCTAAAGTTTGTACTCGCAAGGATGTTTCGTCTGTCTTTGTTGTTTTCAAGTAAGCTACATCGGACGCAAGCTTATATTGACGTCGTTTATTCGGCTTCTTTCAAACGCACAACCGACGTTTTGAGAATTCTACGGTGAACCGTACGCGCATGATTTGAACGCATGTGATATTTTCGTAATGTTACCCGTTGTCAAGTGTGTTGCTAACGCTGAGGGTAACATTACGGATTGTTAAATGCGTCTAAACCAATCAGATTTTAGTATTTAACATGAAAGTATAATAAATATATATATTCTTAATATCAAAGCTTTTCATCAAAAAATATAAAAATTACGGCTATATTAATTATATTAGTCATTAAACACATTGCACGCGCGCGCACGTGCATGCATATGCATGCATGTGCATGATGACCATGTCATCTTGTCTACTCTTTCTATATATATAAATATTTTGAGTATCAAAGCATTTCATCAAAAAGTATAAAAGTTACGATATTATCAAGTAAATTGGTCATTTTACGCTTTGCGCGTGCGCGCACGCGCATGCATGTGCATGTTGACCATGTCATCTTGTTCACACTTTTAATATATCCTTATATTCTGAGTATCAAAGCATTTCACCAAAAAATATAAAAATTACAGCTATATCAAGTATATTGGTCATTTTATCCATTGCACGCGCACGCACGTGCATGCACGTGCGCGCAAAATAACCTTTGTTCCGCAAATCTACATAACATGCCTATTAACCCTAAAAAGGTTTTAACTCAATTGGATGAGCAGTTTCCGAGAACACTCGCGGACAAAAAAGTACCGGAGAAGAAATAAGATGAAAAAAGAATAATAATAATAACTAGATGAGATCTCGTTGCGAGCAACGAGTAGGTCTTCCGTCCGATTTTTCGATAAGATGAGATACGATTTTGACTATGATCTTTGTTAAAAGATAATAATATATAGACTTCCCTAATTAGATTTCATTCTTTTGATTTATATAACATTATTAAAAAAGCTATAGATGACATGCTTTTGGCCCCTCTCAGCCCCTAGTTTGAGGGGTCAGCCCCTTTTTCTTGATATCAATTGAAAGGTCTTGTGATTTTGAAAACGTTTTGTTCAACAACTATTCAGAGATTTCTTTTCGTTATGGAGATATGCTGAATGGAAATATTTAGGGGCCACCCCTCCAAGTCCTTAATGGGGCCGTTTGACAAAAACTGAAAGGGTTCATATTGTTTAGAACATTATTCTGACCATCTTTTGTTCAGTATTGCTTATCAAAATATTCCCCCTTTTCGAGATATAAAGCTTCAAAGATTTAGCATTCTGGCCCCTTGTGACCCCTTATTACGTAACATATGAACAGAATCTTATCAGATATTGTTGTAAATCGTTAAAATAAGGATCTTTGCTTCAGTAATGTATTACAAATTATTGATCGTTATAGAGTTATAAATGAAAGACTTTTGGCCCCTCTGAGCCCCTAATTTGAGGGGTCAGCCCCTTTTTCTTGATATCAAATGAAAGATCTTGTGATTTTGAAGACTTTTTGTTCAACAACTATTCAGAGATTTCTTTTCGTTATGGAGATATGCTGAATGGAAATATTTAGGGGCCACCCCTCCAAGTCCTTAATGGGGCCGTTTGACAAAAACTGAAAGGATTCATATTGTTTAGAACATTATTCTGACCATCTTTTGTTCAGTATTGCTTATCAAAATATTCTCCCTTTTCGAGATATAAAGCGTCAAAGATTTAGCATTCTGGCCCCTTGTGACCCCTTATTACATAACATATGATCAGAATCTTGTCATATATTGTTGTAAATCGTTAAGATAAGCATCTTTGCTTCAGTAATGCATTACAAATTATTGATCGTTAAAGAGTTGTAGATGAAAGACTTTTGGCCCCTCTCAGCCCCTAATTTGAGGGGTCAGCCCCTTTTTCTTGATATCAAATGAAAGGTCGTGTCATTCTGCACAACTTTTATTCTATATGTTTTAACAAATTCTTAACAGGTATGAAGATATGAAAGAAAAGGTGTAAAATTTTGTGAGATGTTTCTGAGACATTTATTGAGCCCTACCGAGCTTCGGCGCCTTTTGCGCTAGAGAGATTTGGACACCTGCCTGCAAATCTACCTACTTTCCCCTACCTTCACTGAAAATCTTGAATCAATATCTTAAGTTGTTTCGGAGGAGTTTCCAGGACAAGCCGACCCTCTGAAAATCAGAAAATCCTAAATATCTCGAGATAGAAAGTGACGTCATCAACGAAAAAAATTTCCAATAAGGTTCAGATCAATACCTATCAGATCTGAAAGTTTCATGAAAATCGGCCAAGACGTTTTCGATAACTCGCGTGCACAAAATCGGTAAGAATAATAATAATAATAATAATAATAATAGGGAAAAAGAAACCGAACGAAAACAATAAGGTCTTCCGTTGGAGACGGAAGACCTTAACTAGATGCGTTTCTTGTTGCTAGGGCAACAAGTGGTCTTCCGACCGAACTTTTCTCCAGATCGCTATGCTACCTCACTTCATTTAATACTTTATTGAAGGTATTTTTTGTTTGCGTTTATGTAACACAGTCTTTCAACATAGATCATGATTATTAAAGGATTTCTGTAGAATCTCTGTTAAAAAAAGCTTTAAAAAATAAGCAAAAACTATCACACATGTCTTCACAGAGAAAAATATCATTTACAACTGAAAAAAGAGAGAAACAATCTCCCGCCCCAGCAGGATTCGAACCGCAACAATACGAGAAAGTTTGGATCGGTCATATCTTTGCAATAAATGCGGTCATATGAAAGATATGGAGATAACGAACAGTATTCAAGCTCAAAAGTCCATTAAACAATACAAAATAGGAGCAGAGCAAACACGGACCTCCAAACATCAGAGGTGGGATCAGGTGCCATGGAGGAGTGAGCATCCCCTGCCGACCGGTCACTTCCGCCGTGTGCTCCTTGTCATGATCGGGAAATCACGGGAAAATCCGTCGACAATTCAGTGTGTAAATAATGGCCTAACAATTAGTATGAAAAACGTCAGTCAGCATTTGACTCAATGATAAATTGTATTTGCTGACAAGGTCATTGTATCGACCATAGAACTTACGAAATGATGACTTTAAACGAGACAGCTGATATTCTTGTTTCATCAACTTATTTGTCAATAATTTACCTCGTTTTAGAAATTGTACATACGTAGAGCATGCTCTTGCGTATCGAATCAACTGAGAGATATATACCCCGTATGCAGGTGATGAAGGTATATTGCTGCATAAGTAAGGGAAGTTGACGATTGAAAAGTTAAAGTCATCACGTTTATCATAAAGCTTGGTTGTTAGATTACCATTAACATCTTTTTCAAGTAAAATATCCAAATATGAAACAGATGTTTCAGACTCTGTGGTATCTTTTATCTCAAGTTCACCAGGATATATCGTATCGACATAAGAATGGAAATAGCCATTGTTAATTGACAATACGTCGTCGATATATCTAAATGTCGAGTTGAAGACCACAGCAAGTGTTTTCTTCTTTTCTCGTAC